CATTTGCTCTCTCTCTCTTTCTGTTTTGTTTCTTCTTTCTCATGGTTCCTCCCATTCGTTGTAATTCTTCTTTACAACATGACTAATGTGAAAATGTTTAATAGGAATGTATATGTAGAACCTATATCAAATTGCACGCCGTCTTGGGAAGGGGGGAGGCGAGGGAAGGGGGAGAAAAAGCTAATGCAAGTGAATGTTGAAAAATAAAAATAAATTAATTTAAAAATTAAAATAAATAAATAAAAACATTATCCTGAGAAGAGCTCCACAGTTTTTACCAGAATAATAAAGGTGTCCATGGCATAAAAAAGATTAAAAAAATCTTGTTTTAAGTCTATAAATTGCAGAGAAGATGCTATTCTGTACTGGTAAAGTTTCCTCACAGGGGAGTTCTTAATGAAATCACAGGCCCAGGTCCTATCCCTTGTTAAGCAGTAGTATTACAACATGCATACAGATATAACCATGCAGTCCTCAGACAGGCTCTCGATTCACAAAGTGCTTGAGCTTCGTGAAAAATGTCCATCTATCCCTTAGGATGTTTTGGGAAAGCATTTCTACGGGGGGCTTTGACCTCTGCTGGAGAAAAGGTCCTACCATATTTTTTTTTTCTTCTTGTGGACTCAAATTTCTTAATGAAAGGAAAAGGAAAGTTAATTTTGGAAGAGGGTGCTGCCAGAAAAGACTAAGCCTGAATGTGGTTGCAGGCAGCCAGAGGGTACCACATAAAAGCTCTGGGTAGGAAAGTGCCAGACAGAGGGACAATGCAGAAAAGAAAACAGTTTGTTCACATTGGGAGGAGTTGGAGATGAATTTGTACTTGCACCAAGTCTGCTCTGTGAAGTGTGGACTGAGTTAAAGGGCCACACTTGAGGACCTAGAGGGCCACATGTGGCCTTGAGGCCAGTTCCCCACCCCTGAATATTATAGACCAAGTTAGCAGAGCTTACTTTATTCAAGGGGAAGGTTTGCTCAATACTGATTCTTATCTCCTGATTAGTTAGCAGAAATTATTCAGGGCAGTGTGAGGCAACAGCAAAAGTAGCCCTAGAGGTGGAAGACCTGGGTTCAAATCCTACCTCACTCACTGGTAAGACCTTTGGCAATATGCTGTCCCTCAGTTTCCTCATCTGTAAAAATGAGATGGCCCCTCATGTGCCTTCCAGCATTAGCTCTTTATAATTCGATGGTCACTTTCCAATGTTACCTATTGGTCATCAGCCCCCAGGTTGATATTATTATATTTTTAGTGAGATCCTTGACCCCTGGGAAATCTGCAAAGGTTACAAACCTGGGCTTGATTTACTGTTCTATTGTTCGTAGGGACTTAAGAAAGTGATGAAAAAAATGTTCATAACGCTGATTAAACTTGAAAGTGTATCGTGCAAACAGATTTCCCGGCCCCCCCCAAGCCGGTTGTTAAATATTTATCCCCCCGCTGCTGACTCCTTCCGGGGACTCCCCCTAGCGGATGCACACGCGCCCTAATTTAGCCCAGGGTTTATCATGACTTAGATGCCATCTCCAGGTTTCCGCGCCCCTGCTGCGCGTGCCCACACGCAGAGGATGGGAAGTGGGGGAGGGGGTGGCAAGGGGAGGGGAGGTGGCTCCCAGCTCCGAGGGCGGGTAGGAGGTGGTGTCTGCCAAGATGGCGATGGCGGTAGCGGCGGCTGCGCGGGCGAGACAGCTGTTAGGGCAGTGATTGGGCGGCAGCGCGAGCGCGCGCCCGACTGAGCGCGCGCCTGAGACGAGAGCCGAAGGTAACGGTTTAGAAAAGGGGACAGGTGACGCCAAGGCTGAGCTCGCGGCGGGAAGGGGTGGGGAGGGTGACGTTAAGGAGTGGCGGCCGCGCGCTGCGAGAGTGAGAGCGCGAGCGCGAGCGCGAGCCCGAGCTTCTTCCCTCCTCCCGCCCCCCTCCCACTTTCTCTCTGGATGTAGCGCGAGCTTGGGGAGAGGAAGGGGGAGGCAGAGCCGGGGTGGGATGACAGCGCCATCTGTTGGAGCCTGCGCCCAACCCTCGGATGCCATTTTCTTCCCTCCCCCTCACAACCCCCCCCTTCCCCTTCCCACTCGCATCACTGAGGGATGGCGTTTGTTTAAGGGCTCGTTTCTGTTTTCCAAGCCACGGATCTTAACCTTTCCACCCTTTAGGTTTTAATTAGTCCAACTCATCAAGTTTAGGCTGGCTTACTAGGGGTGAGGGAGACTGAGGAGTTAAGATGATACCAAAATTGCTAACTTGTGTGACTACATCAATGGTTGTTCCCTCAACAGAAATAGGGAAGCTCAGAAGTGGGGTAGATTTTGAGGAAAGGTAGTATAGTAAAATCTATCATGTGTCTTGCTTTGGTCTCAGGTAGACCTCAGCAGGTGGGTGGAGTTCCCAGATCCCAGGGTTGGTTTCAACAGGTGGATAGGTCTAGAAGGGTTCAGGTGGAGTACAGAGCTGCCCCCTCCCCCATTCTGGTGCCTCTGGGAGAGTGGAAGGTGCGCCTGGTGCTGTCAGAGCGTTCTTCATCCGAGGCAGCACCTGGGGAAAGGTGTTGGAAGTCATTGAGGACTCTGGAGGCAGCTTCTGAGACGGAAATTATGAATTGGTCTAGATACTCCAAAAAGTCACTAAATTGTGAATGCCCATAGACCAGAAATACTACTAGCAGGAATATACCCCAAAGAGATCAAAGAAAGAGGGAAAGGTTATACTTGTACAAAAATATTAATAGCAACTCTTTTTGTAGTGGCAAAAAAACCCCCTGGAAACTAAGGGGGTATTTATCATGTGGGTAATGGCTGAAGAAATTATGGCGTGTGTATGTAATGGAATGTTATTGTGCTGTAATTATCTCCCACTCAGCTGTCCATTATCTTCAGTAATTCATCTTCCTTCAAAATCAAATGAACTCAGAAACTCACTCCTCCTCAGTACCCCCTGGCCTTGGGAGCCCTCCCTCACTATGAATAGAGTGTGTGGAGAGTAGATATTGGAGAGCTCTTCCCAAATCCTCCATTTAAGGAAGGGACCTAGTACAGTGAGGTAGAATTAGCTGAATTTCATGACTTGATCCAGTCACCCTCAGCAGCCTGATAGTTGGCACAGAATTGGATGGTTGGGATTGACCAATGTAGAATTAGTAAGTCAAGAAAGAATGGTTGGGGTGAGGGACTTTGATATGGTAGCAAGTGAATCATTAGAGTGTCAGATCATGGGTTCTAAATTGGGGGGGTGGTAAGTAAAGGCAAGTTAGGAAAGAAAGACTACAAGAATAAGGGGCTGGTAATGAATCTGGGGTTGAAGAATGACTCTGGTAGTTTTGTATAAGTGAGAAGTATGGAACAGGTGAAAGCATATGAGACTGTAGTTGGAGAATGGAATTTCAGATTTTAAGATCTTGGGATTTTTGGTCTGACTTAAGGTGTGACACAGCCAGTGCATTGCTGAAATGGGGTAGAGGAAAGAAGTCACTGGACGTTGAGAAATTTTGTGGCCTGAATGTTAGAGGGATGGCCAGTATGAGTACTGAAGTCCCCAAAGTGATGACAATAAGATGATATAGAGAAGCATGCCTTGAACGAAATGATTCTATGAAATTGTGATACTAAGAATAAATTGTTAATTTTTTATATTTTCCTTATGTTCTTGGCCCAACTTAGTTGAGGTTTATCCTGTGGATTTCTGGATGATTTATTGATAATAACAATAGCTTATGTTTTTATACCTCTTTGCAATTCATACATCATTTTCTTCTTCAGCACTACTTTATTGAGCTATTTATCAAGGAAAAGGGGAAGGTGATATATTTTGGAAAAAGGAATATTTTTTAAAAATTTTTTCATTTTTAACAAGTGTTTTTAAAACTTTGGGTTACAACCCTTCCTCCCTCCCCACCCACCCTCATTGAAAAGGTAAGCATCTCTATACAAGTTATAGA